AATGCAAGTACATATCGATTTTAGAAGACACACACTCTCTCTCTCTGACACACACACACACACACACACACACACACACACACACGTGCCCACACGAGAGTTGTCACTGGATTAGTGAAGAAAAGGTTGGGTGTGGCTCTATCAAGATGATCTTAAATAAATACAGGACTAAAACTTTTGTTTTAGGGTAGAAAAGAATGAAAGGGCGGTGAGGAGAATGCCTGACCCACCAGCTAGTATGTAAAGGGAGGGACAGGTGGGCCCGAGAGAGAATGAGAGCAGACAGGAGTCTAATGCTGTGTCCTGGGTGAAAAGTATTTATGAGCTAAAATTCCATTTCACAGACTGAAACACACACACACACAAATGAAACAAATTAAAACCCTTCGAAGTGAAGTGATCCATAGATTCAAATGCGACTCAGTAGCTGCCCAAGGAAGTAAGAGCCCCCGTTTACGGTAAGTGCTGTGGGAGCACCAGTCCCTGTGCCCCTGAGGACCTGTGCCCGACTGGGCCATCTGCTCTGCTAGCTGCAAACAAGCCTGGAGGGAGCACAGAACGGCTCCCACAAGCTGGTGATGCCATCTCTGTGTTCCAGCAGATTCTCCATAACTGACTGGTGTGTAAGGCTCTGCCTAAATGAAGAAAGAAAAGAGCAGTCACCACAACAACACATCATGTAACTTAGGACCATAAAAATAGATGGAGGAACAGGTAAAAAATCACAGTGCACACAAATGAGACAGGACGTAATGAAGATGTGCCCACTGTACCTATGAAGCCATTATATCAGTGTAAGTCACTATTCTTGTATTTCTCCACGTAAAATATTAACTGAAGTCTTACTATGCATCAGTTGCTCTGCCAGGCTCTGGGGATAGAGAGGTAAATGGAGACACAGCCATGAAGACACAGTCTGCATGGAGCGCGTGGCCAGCGCCCGAATGAGAACATTAAGTACTAATTAATTACCATGGCTGTGATCAATGCAAAGATGGAAAAGGCCAGTGGCTACCACAGAAGATCTAATCTAACTGAGCCTTAGGGTGAGGAAATCCAAGAATGCTACCATGTAGCACCCACGCTGAGGACTGAGAGATAAGCAGGGGCTAGCAGTGCAGAGGACTGGGAGGAGCATCCCGGCAGAGGGAGAAGCCGTGACCAGGCTCCAGGACAGGAGCGTTCAGTACCTGTGAGGAACTCAGAGCAGGAGAGAGCAGCAGAGACAGGTGGTGAAGAAGGCAGAGCTCAGAGAGGAGGAGGTGGTTACTATTAGTAGGATGGGGTGGATTTTAAGCAGTTGAGTGGCAGGGTCTGATGATGCTTTTAAAGGATCATCCTGAATGCTGGGTAGAAAGTGAACGGAAGGGGTAAGAGTGGGAGAGGTTTGTTGATGGTGGTGGTGATGATAGTGATGATGGTGATAAGCTAATTGGCTGAGCACTTATTATGTGCCTGCCATGCACACTCCAAGCATTCCACCCCAATAAACTCAACTCTCACTACTACACCCACCAAAAAAGTGCCACTGTTAACTACTCGGGTCTTCAGAGCAGCAAACTAGGGTTCAGAGGAGATAGCCCAACTGCCCCAGGGTCCAGGAGGAGTAAGTTATTCAGAATAGATCCAAACACAATGCAGTATGGCTCTGAGCTGACACTTCTGACCACTGCTCTGCTGCTTGTTGGCAAGAGCACTAAGACCTGAAGGCACTCCATGACCTTTACTACTTTGTGCATGTGGGTAAAGCGGAGGTTCTAACCACTTTACGTCTCAGCTTATCTCCTCCCGCACCTAAACTGATGAACACTGTGGGCACTCTCCCTAGTAACCCTTCATAACGCTCCAGGTAAAGTTACATGGCAATGGAATTCAAGTAGAACAACTCCAGCTTGTAATAAAGTGATTATATTCAGCCTAAAAATAGGATACTTAATCGTCTGTTAAACAAAAGTAGCAGCAGGCCAACTAGGGAGAACTTTTTACTTTAATTTTAGAGGCAGCAGGGTGAAGGCCAACTTGGCCTGGGAGCTACATGCAGGATTATCTGGATTATCAGACAGCAGGGAGTGAACGTTATATACACCTACAGGAGATGTTTTAAATGCCATCTAATAAGAATAGTTAAGATTTGAGATATGGAGAATTACAAAAAGTGAAAACAAAGAAAAACTTAGCTATAAATGTCTAAATATGGGCATGAAATGCATGATCCCTACTGGAAATAGCAGGGCAGGTATTCAGCAATGAATGAATAACTACAAAGAAAGATAATAGAACATTCAAAACATTCAAAAGTCATGAGTATCACCTAAATTTAAAAATACCTACTGAGCAATTTTTGTTGTTGTTGTTAATCCTCACTTGAGGATATTTTTCCATTGATGTTTAGAGAGAGTGGAAAGGAGGGGGAGAGACAAGAGAAACATCTCGATGTGAGAGAGACACATTGATTGGTTGCCTCCTGCATGCACCCCAACCAGGGCTAGGGAATCAAGCCTGGAACCAAGGTACATGCCCTTGATCAGAATTGAACCCTCGACCCTTCAGTCCAAGGGCCAATGCTCTATCCAAACCAGCTAGGGCCCCACTGAATAATTTGACATTTGTTAAAATAGGTAATACAGTTTGCAAAAATTTTGTCAAAATAATTATTAAAAATTAGTAGCCCCGGCATGAATCCATGCACCAGCAGCTCGCTGCCACCCTCCAGTAGCTCTCCACCCGCTGTCCCGCCCTCCTGTAGCTCCCTCTGCGCCTCCCCTACTCCCTTCCCATAGCTTGCTGTCCTGCCCCCTCCTGTAGCTCTCTGCCACATGCTTGTAGCTCACTGCCCCACCCTTCTGCTGATCCGTGACCCAGTCCTTAGGCGGTTGGTCATTACGCTTCATGGTGTAATGGCCATTTGCATATTACATCTTTATTATATTATTAAAAATAAGTGTCACACTTTTGTTGTTATAAATTATGGCAAATTAACTTCTGAAGTTTACACCTACCTTATGACCTAAACAAAACTAAAATGTTTAGTGGAATCTAGTTGTAGCCCATTATAACCGAAATATTCTATATGTACATATTTCTACTTTATTTTTTTTATTTTTATTTTTTGGTTTTTTTTTTTTTCCTTTTTTTTTAAATTAAATGTTTATTGTTCAGATTATTACATTTGTTCCTCTTTTTTCCCCCCAAAACTCCCCTCCTCCCAGTTCCCGCCCCACCCTCCGCCCTCACTCCCCACCCACTGTCCTCATCCATAGGTGCACGATTTTTGTCCAGTCTCTTCCCGCATCTCCCACACCCCTTTCCCCCCCAAGAATAGTCAGTCCATTCCCTTTCTATGTCCCTGATTCTATTATAATCAACAGTTCATTCTGTTCATCAGATTATTTATTCACTTGATTCTTAGATTCACTTGTTGATAGATGCATATTTATTGTTCATAATTTGTATCTTTACCTTTTTCTTCCTCTTCCTCTTCTTAAAGGATACCTTTCAGCATTTCATATAATCCTGGTTTGGTGGTGATGAACTCCTTTAGCTTTTCCTTGTCTGTGAAGCTCTTTATCTGACCTTCAATTCTGAATGATAGCTTTGCTGGATTAAGTAATCTTGGTTGTAGGTTCTTGGTATTCATCACTTTGAATATTTCTTGCCACTCCCTTCTGGCCTGCAAAGTTTCTGTTGAGAAATCAGCTGACAGTCGTATGGGTATTCCCTTGTAGGTAACTGAGTTTCTTTCTCTTGCTGTTTTTAAGATTCTCTCTTTATCTTTTGCTCTTGGCATTTTAATTATGATGTGTCTTGGTGTGGTCCTCTTTGGATTCCTTTTGTTTGGGGTTCTCCGCGCTTCTTGGACCTGTAAGTCCATTTCTTTCACCAGGTGGGGGAAGTTTTCTGTCATTATTTCTTCAAATAGGTTTTCAATATCTTGCTCTCTCTCATCTTCTGGCACCCCTATAATTCTGATGTTGGTACGCTTGAAGCTGTCCCAGAGGCTCCTTACACTATCCTCCCATTTTTGGATTCTTTTTTCATTTTGCTTTTCCGGTTGGGTGTTTTTTGCTTCCTCGCATTTCAAATCATTGGCTTGATTCTTGCGCTCCTCTGGTCTGCTGTCGGGAGTCTGTATAATATTCGTTATTTCAGTCCGTGTATGCTTAATTTCTAGTTGGTTCCCCAATATAACATCGAGGGTCTCATTAGTTTTCTTGTAGATCTCATTAAGTTTATCGGCGGCTTCTAAACAGTTCTTGAGAGACCTTAAAAGTGTGGTTCTGAACTCTATATCTTCCTTTGACAATTTTGTCCTGTTTCTTTGTCTCCGCATTTTGTTATGCTTCCTTGGTGCACCCCCTAGTGGTCTTTGTGCGCAGCTTATAGTTAAACCTTGATTGTTGTAGCTAATACCAGGGAGGGTTTGACCTCCAGGCCAAGTGGCTATGAGAATCAGCTGTGTCAGCAGTGAGAGAACTTCTGTCCTCTAGGGAGGTGCTAATCTAGCCTTTGCCTGAGGCTATCTGGCAAATGCCTCTGTGCAGGGCTTGGGCGGGGCGGGTCGCACAGGATCAACAGGGTGGGCCAGAGAGAGCAGTTATGGCGGCTCTCAGTCCTGTCCCCAGGGGCTCTGCCTCTCTGAGTCCCAGCACCCGCTGCAAAGCTCAGAGAGAAAGCTGCACTCGCTCTGACCGAAGCCAGACAGTCCCGCTTCTCCCGTTTGAGTCTGGGTTCCTAAAGATTCGCCCGTATCTGGAGCTCAGAGTCTGCGACTTCCTCCCGATTGAAAACGCCAACCGCGCCCTCCGCCGCCAGCCTGCTCCGCGCACTCCGCACCTCAGAATTTGACTTCAGCACTGCGCCTCCTCTGAGTGTCCGTATGCGTTTCTCTTTCCTCCTAGTTGTAGGACTTCCACTCAGCCAGCATTCCTGTGGTTCTGGGTGATGTTTGTTCCGTCTTTTAGTTTCACTTTTGAAGTAGTTGTTCAAAGCAGCAAACTCCGGCGTTAACCTATGCCGCCATCTTGGTTCTCCTGGAGGTGGATTGTCCATATTTCTACTTTAAAATAACAAAATGAACATAAGGAAAGAAACCCTATCAAGGAAGAATTAGAACTAATTTGCACAGTTCTCATGTAAGGCTTCTACCCTGTCTGTGGCAATTTATTTACAAAAATGCCACAGTAACTTCCCTCTCCGTGTCCACACTCCTGGGCAGTCCCCTTCCACACAGACTCTGGGCTGAGCCGTACGATTTGCTTTGGCCAACGGGACCATAATAAATGTACGGCAAGCAGAGACTTGAAAAGAGCCTACGTATTGGGGCAGGCCCTCTCTTGCTGCTCTTAGAAACCCTGAGGCCCCGCCAGGTGACAGTGCCCAGCTCGCCTGCTGGATGATACGCTACACACAGCTGGCTGGGTACTTCTGGCTCTTCCCACAGCCACATGTGAGCGGGCTCACTGACCACACACACGAGTGAGCCCTTCCTGCCACGTGGAACAGAGATGGCTGTCCCAGCTGAGCCCAGCCAAACTGCTGACTCGCAGAATAAATAAAACAGTGGTTGCTTTAATCCAATAGATTTTGGCATGGTTTGTTACAGAATAAAAGGTACCTAATACGCTTCACAGAAACAATTTATTCTCTTCTCACTGCGTGATGAATGCAATCTTTGCCCTGATTGCTTTCCAAACTGGGTCATAACCTATTAGTGAGTAAAGTCAATCCTTTAAAAATCAACCAAATATAACCAATTATATCCCATGTACATGGGTTTTATTTCATGTGTAATTAATAAATGTGGTGCACATATACGCATTGACGAACATACACATACACATGTAATCATATGTGCTCTGAGGAGGAATGCAAACTACATTTCATACTATGAGTTATGGTTTAGAAACTGAAAGCCACCGTCTCCGAATCTGAACTACTTCAGAAGGTATAAAGCTGCATACCTCTCTTTGTTAATCATTGTGGGAAAATTACCTACTACGAACATGAACTGAATATACAAATCTAATGTTAAGGCCAATTTTAAATTCCAAAATTTGAGATTAAAAATTTACCTGGGCCCTGGCCTGCTCAGTCATGGAAGGTGGTGGGTTTAATTCCCGGTCAGGGCACATAGCTAGGTTGCAGGTTTGATTCCAGGTCGAGCACATATGGGAGGCAACTGATTGATGTTTCTCTCTGGTAGATTTTTTTTACATATAAGATACCATGAATCATGCCCTGGCTGGTTTAACTCAGTGGATGGAGCATCAGTCTGTAGACTAAAGGGTCCTGGGTTCGATTCTGGTCAAGGGCACATGCCTGGGTTGTGGGCTTGATCCCCAGTGTGGGGCGTGCAAGAGGCAGCCGATCAATGATTCTCTCTCATCGTTGATGTTTCTATCTCTCCCTCCCTCTCCTTTCCTCTCTGAAATCAATAAAAATACATTAAAAAAAGATACCATGACTCATTAGAAACAACGGGGGGTTAAGAACAGCTGACGTGCAGTGCAGGGCCAGTGCACAGCATGGGTTAAGGAGTCAGTTTCTTCGCTCACCAGGGCCCAGTCTAAAATGCCATCGCTCTCACAGCTCCAGGCCATGAGACCGTCCGCAGCGGTTCCCAGCCACTGCTGGGCAGAGCAGGCCTCCGTGGAAGGAGCTCGGAGAAGGTCTGAACGAGGGGTAAGCGCCCAGAAGAGACAGAGTCACTATTCTGCTCAAATAAATAAAAATGAGAGGAAAGGCACATCATAAAAAGCTCAAAAGCCAAATTCACTTTCACTCATGCTATCGGAGAGCATCATTAATGCTTTTCACTGACTCACATCTGCATCCATTACATAAATGTGCAGGGAACACCCACTAAATACAGTGTACTTCAAGAGATACCAGCCCGCATCAAATGAGCTAACCCCCACAACCCTGCAAGTACAGGACTGACGGAGAGATGGCAGTGTGGCACCCTATCACCACAGAGAAGCTTTAACTAACTAACCACGTTCAATCACCCAACAAATAGCAGCATCAACACCGCCTGTGACCCACCAACCCCAGGCCAGCTGTTGTGCTTTGAAGCTGCCTGGGAACACAGAGATGAACTAACAGGCGAATGGCCCTGCACAACACCTTATCATTAAGGAATTCATCTAGAACGTCAGGACAGAACTAGTTCAGGATTCCTGTGACTCAACGTAATTCTATCACTTCTTTCTTTATGGAGAGGAAACTGGATAAAAAAACAACAACAAAAGGCTAACACCCACTTTTTATCACTCCTTATAATCACTCACTTTAAAGTATTTACATACGTGCTTTTAATTCTATGGCAAAGTCTATCCCAACAATATAGGCTGAAATGTAAAATCTTATGTACAAATACTGTTGTACTCAGCCCCTTTGCCCATGGATTCTAGGCCATTGAAAGTGTACCCAGACCCATTACTCACCTTACAATGTAGGAAGGTACTTCTGATTACATGCAGGACCGAGGAGGGAGACTCTGGATATTTGCTAGAATGATGGACTCCTGCGTGACATGGACATGCTGAACACATCCTGTAAGAGCTCCTACGACCTGCACATTATCTGGAAATAAGGACATATGTTTCATTCAGAATATACTTTTTGTGCATCTAAAAACTGTCAGACTGGGCACTAGGATAGAGCAGTGAACAAAATGGACATTCTGTACCTCTGTTCACAGAACTTCAGTCTATCAGAACTACAAATACTGGAACAACCAGCTAGCCATTTGGTTAAAAAAAAAAGTTGGAATTCTAATCCACACATCAAAAAATATGGCAGCACTCTGCCCATATGCTTTGAAATTATAGGTAGGGCATGCTTTCCCAATTACTCGTATTCCTTTAAGAGTTTAGTTGTTTACTCAGGACAAAATTATATTAAAAACTCAGAAATTATGTTTCTGTATTCATATATTTAATTCCATAAACATAATTGCAGTACTAGGCCATCACATAAAGAATACAAGGTTAACTAATATCAGTATAAAAATTCCCGCACTCTTTGAGCTCCCTATCTCTCTTTTTTAAGACATTTGAGTTACTTGTAAAATATTCCGTAGGGTGCTCTGGATGTCTAAGTTTTGGCTTGATAGCTCTCTGGCTTGGCTGGTTAACTCATACATCACATCATCAAATAAATTCACAGTCTGTAAAGACAAAGTAGTTATTAATAAGAATAGAAATCACTAGAAAAGGAAAGCTAGCTTTTAAAAAAACTCAGATGATTTTTATTTTGCATCAGCAACACCTTTGGGATATTGTCTAGCTTAACAACGGCACCTAAGTTTCAAATATATACATTATAATATGCAAATCAACTGGACGGTGGAACGACCAGTCGGCTATGATGTGCACTGACCACCAGGGGGCAGATGCTCAACGCAGGAGCTGCCCCCAGCCTGCAGGCCCCTATCACCCAATCGGAGCCTGCCGGCCAACCTCTTGGCAGCTGGCAGCAGGGGAAGATTGGCCCTGATCGCAGGCCAGGCCTAGGGACCCTACCCATGCACAAATTTCATGCACCAGGCCTCTAGTATATATATAACATATACAGTTGTATGTGAAACAGTTTATTCTTATATCATTATTTATTAATTATTGTATTATTTTCCATATGAAAAATTGTAAACCTACTTTTGCCTCTCCCTGTAGAGTATATAGAGTAATTCTATAGTACAATTTCTCAAGGAAGACCTCAGACAGAAATTGACTTATTTTCCATTTCTGTGGTTTGAATCTAACAACTATTTTTAAAAATCATTCACAGTTCATTTTTGTGTGAAATAACAAACATAGGTGCTACTCTTTTCATAATAAAAGATGATGTTCTTAGCCAATCAACATGCATATGGGCACTTAAAAGGGTAGTTTCTGGTAGTGGTAGTGAATTTGTGCTCAATCTCCTATTCACTTGTATTATAACCAATTTTCCTTTTCAATCAACTCAAAATACAGTTCCTGGGTGAGAGGCACAGTATGTGACCCTCAGAATCAAGTATTTTGCCTGTGAAAAGTTAGCCACCTTAGGATCGTAATGCTAGGCCCTTTCTCAACAACTTACATGGCCCACACATTGCAGGAATAGGCACCCGGCAACAGCACAAGGTGACTGAAGAGGACACCATTTCCCACCGGCCTGTTCAACATCCCGTTTTCACATACACAGCCCCTGGCCCTTTCCTGGTGGTCAGGAGCAAATTCTAAGAAGCTTTTTATGTAAAAAGCTTTATTGTCTATTTATAGAATAACCGAGTGAATGTGAGTAAAAGCAATTCTGATGGTTATCTGCCTCAAAGCTAAACTTAGAAAAAATCCATTCCAACAAGAGAGTAAGTTATGTTAAGTATGTTTCATTTTGGCACCAAAGTACCCTTACTTCTCTCAATTTAAAAAAATGACTGCTTTTCAGAGAAAAAGTATATCATACATCTAAAAAGTAATAATATAGTCTTTAAATATAATGTTTTCTCTTAGTTATTTCATTTTTCCAGTATTTCAGCCTTTTTTTTTTTTTATCATGACTTCATTTTTATTTATCTTTATTGTTGAACCTAAGACTTCTTTAATAAAACTTGGGTACATTTCTCTAGCCAGTGGTTCTCAACCTTCTGGCCCTTTAAATGCAGTTCCTCATGTTGTGACCCAACCATAAAATTATTTTCGTTGCTACTTCATAACTGTAATGTTGCTACTGTTATGAATCATAATGTAAATATCTGATATGCAGGATGGTCTTAGGCGACCCCTGTGAAAGGGGCGTTCGACCGCCAAAGGGGTCGCGACCCACAGGTTGAGAAACGCTGCTCTAGCCAATGCTATATAATAATCCTATCTAATAAAAGGATAATATGCAAATTAATTATCACTCTGTCAAAAAGATGGTGGCATCCATAGCCACAAGATGGCGGTGCCCAGTCCTCTCAGCCCCACTGGAATCCCCCAGTCCCAGGGGGACGGCCACTGAGAGTGGGCAGTGTGAACGGCCTGGCAGAATGCTTGCTTTGTTGCTGTGGCAACAAGGCAATCGTTCTGTGCCTGGCTGTGGAGGGCCTCTGGCCAGTCCGGGTGCAGAATGCTTGCGTCATTGCAGGCCGGGCTAAGGGACCCTCCCACCCCCACCCCCATGCACGAATTTCATGCACCAGGCCTCTAGTCTATACTAATAAAAGGGTAATATGCTAATTAAACCAGACATCTTCCAGACATCCTTCTGATGTCCTTCCGGACAAAGCCACGGTGGCAGGGGTCGAGGCCGAGGTGGTTAAGGGCAATTAAGCTGGCAGGGGAGAGTAGTTAGGGGGATCAGGCCAGCAGGGTTGAGCAGTTAGGGGGATCAGGCCGGCAGGGGAGAGCAGTTAGGGCAATCAGGCTGACAGGGGAGAGCAGTTAGGAGGATCAGACTGGCAGGCAGAGGTGGTTAGGGGCGATCAGGCAGGCATGGGTCCCGGTTTGGAGAGGGTGCAGGCCAGGCTGAGAGACCCGACCCCCCACAACTGTGCACAAATTTCATGCACTGGGCCTCTAGTCCTATATAATAAAAGCATAATACGTTAAGTGTCCAAACAATCAGTTGACCATTCGGTCAACTGCTGGACCCGTCGCTATGATACACACTGACCACCAGGTGGCAGACGCTCCAACCGGTAGGTTAGCTTGCTGCCGGGGTCCAGCCGATCGGGACTGGGCCAGAGGGCCGGACACTCCCTGGAGCCCTCCCGCAGGCCCTACCCGGCCTGCCGGCCCCCATCGGCTCTGATCGGGACTGGGCGAGATGGCCCCTATTGCCAGCCAGGCCGAAGGACCCCACCCATGCATGAACTCATGCACTGGGCCTCTAGTTACTAATAAACTCTGCAGAGAAGACACAACAAAGGGACTTCTTACCTTCATCACCCACCCCAATTTTCATTGAATAGCATTAAAGTACAAGAATACTTAAAACTAACTACAAATAATTTAAATTCACTTAGTCAAGGCTCCATATTATCTGAAAATATAATAGTTTTTAATCAACAAATTATTCTAACACCACCATATTCTTATGAGATATTTTTTATTACTTTATTTGTATGACAAATATGTTTGATACTAAAAAAAAAAAGGCACAATTAAGAATGAGCTAAAACAGAGGTTGGACTTGAACAGCCTTGATTTTGTAACCTGTATGTTGATTAATAGTACTGTGTCTTTGGCAGCATTTATGAAAAGAAAGTCTGTTCCAATGTCAGGTGGTTCATATGAGGTCAAAAATTTTCTACAATGATTTTCAAAACTTCTATAAAGCAAAATAGTAACACACTGTGTAGGAATGTTACCATATTTTTCCATGTATAAGACGCTATTTTTTTCTAAAGTCATTAGATTGAAAATCGAGGGGCATCTTATACACGGAAGTTAGCAGAGGAGGGAGCCATGCGGGTGCATACCTTGTCAAACAGGCTTCCTCCAATCATGAACCTTATTGTTACTGACATCAGCTGATGCCGCAATTGGAGAGGGTGCAGATGCAACAGGAACCGGAGCATTCTCAGCATATAAAGATGTCAAAAAATAGATAAATCCCGGTAAGCAACTGTCTTACTCTGCAAAATTCAAACTGCATGTAGCAATCAGCTATGCAAAAGAGCATGAAAACAGCTGCAGAGAGACCATTTGGACCTCCTCCCACTGAGTGTGTGGTCAGAGAAGGGAGAAAACAACAAGAACAACTTCTTAAGGTGCCAAAAAAGAAGAAGGCCTTAAGAGGAAAACCAGCAAAATGTTTAAAATATTGATTTCTTAATTTTGGGTTGGAAAAGTGGGGGGCGTCTTATACATGGAAAAATATGGTAAGTCATGTCAGCCAACAAAGATCATTGCTCTTTCCAAATGGGAGAATATGTAAACACAACCAACAGAAAACATTGTACAGTTTCAAACGCCATAACCTATTAAGAGAAACTGTTATGTAACTGAAATAATAGCAAAATAAAGGGGAGAATATGTCCAGCAATTGAGGACATGATTGAGGACACTTAATGGATGTGGGTACCTTTACTGCATAGGATCTGCAAATGATTCTTAGAGATTATTTAAAAACCATAAAAAATGTTTATAATACTTTAAAATTAAACAAAAAGGTCCCAAAATACTATCCCAATTCTAATATATGTAAACATGTACGCACAAAGAATAATAAGACAGTCTGGCAGGAATGTACAGAAATGAGATGAGAATGTCCTCTCTTAAAATCTTAACCATTTCAGATCCATGGGTGTTTTCTAGTTTTTCTGCATTGTTTTAAATTTTCTACAATGAATATGTATAATTAACACTCAAGATAAAAAATAATTATGTTACTTAAAAAACTAGACCCCAACAGGCAACATAAATTAAAAATTATAAACTAACTAGAGGCCCGATGCACGAAATTTGTGCAAGGGGCTCGGCCCTCGCAGCTGGCTGCCTTGGCCAGCCCTCGCAGCCCCAGCTTTGTCTGAAGGTCATCCGGACGGTTGTTCGACTGTTCGGTCTGTTGTTCGGCTGTTCAGTCTAATTAGCATATTAGCTCTTTATTATTCCACAACCATTCTAACTCAAGATAAATGTAAACTCTACAGTTTAGTTTTTACTCTCTACCTTTCCTCCTGGCTAAATAAGTAAACCACATCAAGTAAGAGCGATGAAGACAGAGATGAGAAAGTCAACTTTTTCCAAATGACAAACGTGTCATCACCTAAGTAATCCACTTTCTGTAACCTAGAAACTATTTCCTAAAGCTACTTCACATGTTGGAGGTTGAACGCAGGAGCCTGTAAGTTATGTGTCACATGGTCTAACCATGGTTTAACCAGCATATAAAGCATACACTGTGCTAATACATACATTAGTAAACAGGTTTGCTAGCTATTAAAATTGGAATTTAAAACAAGAAAAAAGAATCTCCCATAACCCCTAGTAAGATTTTTCTTCTGAAACTTAATGCTGCATATATATATTTTTACAGCAGCATTCAAAATGAGGTATAGTCATTAACTTATTTGAATCTGGTAGGATAGAATTTGCCCTATGGGAAAATTTCAACAAAGCTAAAAAATAAATCTAGCCTCTTCAAAAATTAAACATGTTATGATTATGAAGACAAGCAGGTTAAGATGAGAATCATATGTAAAGTACAAAACATGAAAATAATTATGTTCCAATGATGGAACTGTGGATTTATTGCAAACTTTAATTTGTTGAAAATTGTGTTGAAAAGAAATATCGTCTAATGAGACTTACAAGCATTTAAAAAACATATTTTTAGCCCTTTATGCAATGCTTAGTATGTGCCAGGCACTGTTCTAGGTGCTGGGATAACACGGTGAAAACAAAACCTTGCTTTTATGAACTTTATAGTGATGTGTGGGCAAGTGAAAAATAAACAAGACTGCTGTTCACGATAAAGTACTCTTTAGAAAACCGAACAGGGCAAAGTAATAAGTATTGCTGGCTGGGTTTGGGGGAACCACCTAAAATTGAGGGCTCTGCAAAGGGCCCAAGTGAGGTGACATTTGAGCCAAGACCTTTATAATGAGCTGCACAAAAGCCTGGAAAACAAGAGGCTGAGGGACCAGCAGGCATGGAGACCAGGCCTGAAGTTTCCCGCCTTTGTGGATGGAATGCAGTGAGCCACGCAGGAGCAAAGGGCAAGGTCTAGCCCAGTGGTCGGCAAACTCATTAGCAACAGAGCCAAATATCAACAGTACAACGATTGAAATTTCTTTTGAGAGCCAAATTTTTTAAACTTAAACTATATAGGTAGGTACATTGTTATTAACTTAATTAGGGTACTCCTAAGGCTTAGGAAGAGCCACACTCAAGGGGCCAAAGAGCCACATGTAGCTCGCGAGCCGCAGTTTGCTGACCACGGGTCTAGACCACATGGGGCCTTGAAGGAAAGTTTGGATTTTATTTCTAACTAGAGGCCCGGTGCATGAAATTCATGCACGGGGGGGGGGGGGGGAGGGGGAAGGGAGTCGCTCAACCCAGCCTGAACCCTCTCCAATCTGGGATCCCTCTCACAATCCAGAACCAGTGGCTCCTAACCACTCACCTGCCTGCCTGCCTGATGGCCTTAACTGCCTAATTGCTCTCCCCTGCTGGCCTGATCCCCCTAACTGCACTCCCCTCCTGATCTGATCGCCCTAACTGCCTGCTACCCCCTGCCGGCTTGATCCCCCTAACTGCCCTCTCTTCCTGGCCTGATTCCCCTAACTGCTCCCCCCTGCCAGCTTGATCTCCCTAACTGCCCTCCCCTCCTGGCCTGATCACCCTGCCTATCTGTGCTCCCCTCCTGGCCTGATCCCCCAACTGCCTATCTGCTCTCCCTTCCTGGCCTGAACCCCTAAATGCCTATCTGCACTTCCCTCTTGGCCTGATCCCCCTATCTGCCTATCTGCTCTCCCCTCCTGGCCTGATTCCCCTGTCTATCTGCTCTCCCTTCTTCTCCACGCCCTTTGGACCCTCAGCGCAGGCATGCTGAGAGCCCTCTGCTGGGGCCCCGCCCCTGTCCTGATTGGTCGGTACGTGATGAGGTCCTGGACAATTTGAGTATTCCTCTATTATTAGTATAGATTTGTTAAAAGCCATTAGGGTGTGTGTGTGTGGAGGGGGGATATAAAAAGGAAATGACATGCTCTATCTTTCACTATAACTATTTTGGAGCATCCGATTCTATAATAATAAAAGTGTAATATACTAATTAGACTGGATGTCCTTCCAGATGACCTTCCAGACGAAGCCCAGGCTATGAGGGAAGCCGGGGGAAGGAAGGACTACTCTTGCACGAATTTCATACATCGGGCTTCTAGTGGGTTATAAGAGGACACTAGAGGCCCTGTGCACACAAATTTGTGCACTCGGGGGGGTCCCTCAGCCTGGCATGTGCCCTCTCACAGTCTGGGCCCCCTCGGGGGATAACCACCTGCTGGCTTAGGCTCGGTCCCCGGGTGAATGAACCTAAGCTGGCAGTCAGACATCCCTCTGGCAGCCCGGCAGCCCTCGGGGGATGTCCACTTGCCAACAGGGAACAGGCCTAAGCTGCAGTCAGACATCCTTAGTGCTGCTGAGGAGGCGGGAGAGGTTCCCACCATTACCGCTGTGCTGGCAGCCATCAGTCTGGCTTGTGGCTGAGCAGAGCTCCCCCTGTGGGAGTGCACTGACCACCAGGGGGCAGTTCCTGCATTGAGCATCTGCTCCCTGGTGGTCAGTGTGTGTCATAGTGACCAGTCAATCCCAGTCGTTCTGCTGTTAGGGTCAATTTGCATATTACCCTTTTATTATATAGGAGTGCCTGGCCAGCCTGGGTGAGGGGCTGGTGGCTGTTTGCAGGCTGGCCACAACCCCCAGCCACCCAAGTTCCCAGTGGAGGCTGGCTGGAAGCAGGTATCTGGGATTTATTTGTCTTCTATAATTGAAACTTTGTTGCCATGAGTGGAGGCCTCAGCCAGCTCAGGGCTGGTGGGAAGCTTGGCTTCCTCCATTGTCCGGGCAACCAAGCCTCCTGCTTGCTCCAGCTCCGTGGCTGAAGGCTGCCATCTTGGTTGGGTTAATTTGCATACAGTCACTCTGATTGGCTGGTGGGCATGGCTTAGGGCATAGTGAAGGTATGGTCAATTAGCATCTTTGTCTTATTTTGTGTAGATGAGGAAACTATTATAAATAGTCCAGGTGAGAGCTGATGGGGGTTTGGAATAAAGTGGTAGCAACTGGGAATGGAGATATGTGGATTCAAGATACAGCTTGAAGTCACAGACAACAGAACTTGCTGATTGGATGGATGTGTGGATCCAAGGTCTCTGGAACCATTTACAGTTAAGGCCTCACCCAACACTGTCAATAGGTTTTGTGACTTAAAGCAACACTTTGTGTAATGAAACCAATTTTTCCATAGGCTAATTGATATAAACAAGAGCTAAGTTCCTATTTCATAATGAAACGACTTTGAACAAATTGTTATTTGAGCCCTAGCCAGTTTGGCTCAGTGGATAGAGCGTAGGCCTGTGGACCAAAGGGTCCTTGGTTCGATTCTGGCAAAGGGCACAGACCTCTGTTGCAGGCTCCTCCCGGCCCGGGCACTGGCCAGGCCTCGTGCAGGAGGCAACCAATCAATGTGTTTCTCTCACATCAGTATTTCTGTCTTTCTCTCTCTCTAAAAAGCAATGGAAAAATAACCTCAGGTGACGATTAAAAAAAAAAAATTGTTATTCGAGGATCTGCTGTATTTCCATGAAGTAACGGGGGTAAGAACAAGTTTGGGTCCTTCTGAATGTGGTGTGAGGTGACAACCAGGTGGGAATGTTGACTTTCAATGACTGAAGTCCCCTGCACGTTTGAGGAGAGGAACCAGTTCCTTCTTTGTTACTCCAAGGCCTGCCACCCTGCCTGATACTCACATGTGAGGGACCCAGAACATGTGTTTTCAGAAGGAGAGCTATTCTGTTTCCCAAGTCGAAATCCTTGAGGATGGGTTCCATATCTGCACAAGGACTAAAAAGGCTCCGGTACCCGGTGGGGGTGTGCTCACGGCCAGACGGAGGACTTCCACGGGAGGGTAACATTTGTGTTCGGCTTTAACTGTAAAACCTATTCGCGTGGTGTTGAGACTCTCAAACGAAGGTCATTTTTTCTTTTAAGTGTGGTTTTATGTTGAAAGTGAGCTAAAAGGCATAAAAATTAAAAAAAAGTTACCTTCTAACATGAGAGGCTAGGACTCCAGGCACATTCACAAGCACAAAGGCACGAAACCACTGAAGGATGGTCTGCCCCGGGACCACGGGCCCCCAGCCACTCAGCCCCAGCAGATGGACCCGAAACAAAGTCAGCAACGCCTGGCCAGCAGCACAGGACAGGGGGTGGGGAGGGCGGGGAGGGCATGTCAACACCTTTCACAGTCTTGGCCCCTCGCTGAACCGCGCGTCCTTTAGTTCTCACAACGCGGGGGAAGGCTCGTTCACACCCACCACCCACCTCTGTCCACCACCCGCCTCCGCGGCAACAGCTCAGTGTCTCTCCGCCTCGACCAGCTTAGCCGGGGCTCGCCTTACAGCTCAGGCCCGGTCCTTGCCTCCCCCGCACTCCGTGCACAAGTATTGCCACTTGATTGCACGTGACGAGTACAAAAACCTCCAAGGCGCAGGGGATGGACAGAAACGCCACTTCCACGGGGCGGGCACCTCCGCGAGCCCCGCAGTCCAGAGGCAGGCCTGCCCGGCTCCTGGACACACGACCCCCGCTGGCCCTCCCTCCTTCCTTCCCTCGCTGCTCCATTCTAGCTCCATTGGAGAACCGAGGGTCAGGCCGCGGAGCACAGCACGCGCTGGTGGGGCGCGACCCGCCGCGGGGAAAGGTCGGCACCTGCCTGCACGCCTCTCTGGGTGCCCGCGGCAGCGGGAGACGAGGAGCCGAGGCAGGACAGCGCGCAGCTCCGGCGCACGGCTCCCGGGAACGGCTTCTGGCCTCCAAGCTCCCGAGGCTGCGTCCGCCCAGCGGCCACTTCAAACAGCCCCGCCACCGCCGATACCCGAAACGAGCCGTCCCGACAAGCCTTGCGCGCGCTCCGCCTGCGCCAGGACCATAGAGAGGGAGCGGGCTGCATTCCTTCTGAGCTCGGGCTCCAGGCCGGCTGGGAAAAACCGGGCTCGTCTGGCCCGCGGAGGACTCGACTCACTGGTGCGCGGGGCTAGCCCGCACTACCTGGCCTCTTGTCGGGCTTCTCCGCCAGAGCTGGGAGCTTGGCGGGCTGCGGCCATCCCCAGGTCTGGGTCGCAGTAAATGTTACACGGAATTGCTTTGGGGAGGCGAGGGCCGGAGGTCCCCAGATTTCATCCCTGGGTCCCTGTGGTCTTTGAGATTGCACATCTGGGGTGGGGCTGAACCCAGGACTTGCAGCGGGTACAAAGGGGCACGTTTCTATCCATTAACCGTGTGACCCTACTTTGTACATCTTGTGTAACGGGCATAGAGACCCCGCCTGCCAGAAATGTGCCATCCACAGCATGTCTAGCATCACAGATACGGACAAGAGTCTCAGTCAAGTTGCCTCCACTTTGTACGGGCCTCTCCAAACGTTCAGGGCCCTTATTTTGTGTTTGTTCTGCCACCAAACTAACCTTTACTGATGACTCCAAAATCACCCACTCCCGTTCGCGCGGGGCTGCTGGTCTCCATTGAGTATCCTGAGGTCACGTGGATGAGCCTGCACCAAAGCAGAGCCGCACAAGTTTCCACGGGGCTGCACATTTACCCAAATGAACTCTGGCCTGGTGAGGTGGCTCAGTGGCTGAGCATGGACTTATGAACCAGGAGGTCATGGTTTGTTCGACTCTCGGTCAGGGACCATGCCTGGGTTGCAGACTGGATCCCCAGTGTGGGGTGTGCAATGATTCACTCTCATCATTGATGTTTCACTCTCCCTCCCTCTCCATTCTTCACGCTCTAAAATAAAATTTAAAAAACAAACAAACAAACCACACATTTTAACAAAAACAAACAAACAAAAAAACTTGGGATTCCTGTTACTTGAAATAAGAACAGACACCAAAAGTTAGGCTTGTCATTTCCTGCCCCCAAAATTTGGACTTCATACATTTTCTAGTTATTGCTACTGTTGTTTTTACTCTTCATTCTCTAATCCAGCTGTTGACCCTTGAGGGGTTGTGTGTTTCCAAATCTCTTTATCCCCCTCACAACTTTTATTTAAAAAGCAACTAGCTGTATGGAGTAGGGAGAGGGGCAGAGTTACTGTTTAATATTATATTTCAAAGAAATGTGTCATTTTGCTTTTTAATAACAATTTTATCCCCCCCCCCCCCCGAGTTAAACTGAAGGAAAAGCAAAGACCTCTAAAAAGTCATTTGGAAACATCTCTAAATATGTATAACTGTGTGTAAGCTCCTAAAGAAAAACTGACCCAGCCCTAACAGGTTTGGCTCAGTGGATAGAGCATCAGCCTGTGGACTAAGGGACCCAGGTTCGATTCCGGTCAAGGGCATGTACTTGGTTTCGGGCACAACCCCAGTGGGGAGTGTGCAGGAGGCGGCTGATCGATGTTTCTCTCTCATGGATGTTTCTAACTCTCTATTCCTCTCCCTTACTCTCTGTAAAAAATCAATAAAATATATTTAATAAAAAAAGAGAAAAATTGACCCAAATGAAACTACTTTGAATAACAGAGACAGGTTTATAACTGAGATGGGTTTATGTCAGTGTCATCAATTCTATTCAGAAGCGGAGGAGTCTCCCTTTGAATTGAAGGGTGGTGCTAGGATGACCTACCAATTTAGTTTCACTATAGAAGACCATCTGGAAAATGAACCAACTCCCCTTGGAGATGAAGCTTCAACCCTGAATTCCTCAGAAGAGTCTCCATTCTCAGCAAGTCAAAAAGGGAAACACAAGGACACGAAATGTTCTACAGAGCAGCAGTCTTACTGGCTTTGGCGTATCTTGTGAGGACCTACGTCAGCGGGAAATGCAGTTCCCGCCCAAGGCACACAGAACTCACTTGATGCAGCTAACAGGTCAGGGAACTTGGAGCCCCATGAAAAACAGCCTTGCTTGAGACTTGCCAAAGAGCATAGAAAATAAAGTCATAGAAACGTTACCAGCTCTCCAGTACATTAATGTATCAGTAGAGAAAACCATCTTATTGAAAGAGAACTTCCCTGAAGAAAACACAGTGTCAAAAACCTTTTCTTCTCACTCTGACCTGATTACCGGTGTTTATGGAGGAGGCTTGAAAATCTGGGAATGTACCTTGGACTTCCTGGCTTATTTCACAAAGTCCCACATGAAATTTGCTGGGGGGAAAGTGTTGGATCTTGGCAGTAGATCAGGGTTGCTGGGTATAATTGCACTCAAGGGAGGGGCCACAGAAGTTCATTTTCAAGATTATAAAAAGTATGGTAACTGGTGAAGCAGCCTTATCTAATGTGGTGGCCAACTCCACTTTGGGAGATGAAGAAGATGATGGAAACAAGCCACCTGTGAAAAGGTGCAGGAAATCAAAAGTAGCACAAGAACTAGGTCAGTGCTGATCTTTTCCTGGGCTGTGGTCTGAGTGTTGTAAACCTGTACTAACTGTGAAAAACTCTGAAAAATATGATCTCATTCTCATGTCAGAAACCATTTAACAACCTGGATTATTATGGTACTTTGCACCAAACATTCCTTCCATTGTTAAGTAAAATTGGGCGGGCGCTTTTGGCCAGCAAAGCACATTATTTTGGTGTAGGTGGAGGTATTCATCTCTTTCGGAAGTTTGTAGAAGAAAGGAATGTATTTGAGACTAGAACACTTGAAATACAGTGGGGCCTTGACTTACGAGTGTCCCGACGAACGAGTTTTTTGAGATACCAGCTGTCTCTCAGCCAATTTTTTACATTGAGTTGATAGAATAATTTGAGTTAATGTGCTCCTTAACGAGCTCCTTAACGAGCTCAATCTCAGAACGAATTAAACTCGTAAGTCAAGGCCCCACTGTACTTGATGAAGGACTAAAAAGATTCCTAATGGAAATGACTTTTAAGTGCCCTAGTTAATGTCCACAGAGCATCCTAAGTGAAGTAAATACAATAACTAAAAACTTATTTTGAATGTTTAATTTCTGCATTATAATTAATATCTCCATTTTATAGACAAAGAAATTGAGACTCAAGGAAGTAATTGGATCCCCATCACATTTCTCACCTTGAACCAGATTCTGAACTGAGGTCTATTTAAAAGCTTTTCTCAGGAAAGATAAAAAATGGCAGCAGAGTTAGTGGATGCTGCACAGACATGCTCCCAGGAACAAACTGGTATTACAACTAAAATACAGAAAAACTTCCTGAACAATCAATGGAAACTTGCAGGAGAGAACCCTGATACCCGAGGACGAAAGTGGAGATTACATAGGAGAGGTGGAGCGTGAAAGGGCTGGCCAGGTACCCACAGACAGCAAAAGAAGTCCGGGAGAGAGATCTCAGCTATGGGGGGGGGGGGGTTGCCACTGAGAACTCTGGGATCTAATCCCCAAGCTGGGCCCCTCCAGCAGAGAGCACCAAAACTGAGGAGGGTACCCACATAACATCTGACTGTGAAAAGCAGTGGGGTGCTGTCTGCCAGGGAGTAACAGCTGAAAATTCAGAAACCACTTAAAGGGCCAATGCACAAAATTTCCTGTGAAGCTACCCACCTTGTGCTCCAGCAGAGGGAGGGTGAATGGACTGGAGCTGTGAGAGCAGAAGCCAGGACTGGGGACTCAGGGAATAGAGCTCAGAAGGCAGACACCCCAAGTTTCCTGGGCTGAGTCTTTCATTAATGCAGTGGAGGACATCTTCCCCACATAGACATTTGCCTTGCCTGGGGGGAAGACAGTTGACACACCCTATTGGAAAACATCTTGCCCTAAGGCCACTTAAGAGATTAAAAATAACAATTAGCCTCCAGGCAGAAGCAACTGCCCCACCCTGTTGAAGAAAACTCTCACCACACCTGAGGACGATTGCCTGGGGTTCAAGTCCGAATGTTATCAGTCTGTAGGCAGAGGTGGTCTCTGGAGGCTTTGAGTCTATGCCTGATCTAATTAGTCAGAAAAAGCCTTTAACACTGTCCCACACTAGTGATTCAGAGGCATAGAAGATCTACCTAATACATAGTCACAAACCAAAAAAA